TAAAAAATAATTATATTTATTAAAATTCATTAGAAAAATAAAATTATTTCTCAATTGATATATTCATGTTTAATGTAGTTATATGTTCTAAGTTAAAAAAATTATTATAATATAACACAGGTAAGTCGCACAAATAATAAGTTTCATACTAAATATATAATAATATATATTTTTATAAAAGGTATTTAAATTTTTAACTATTTTTTCTCATTAATTTTAAATTTAAAAAAAAAATAGCAAGTACCCGTGTAATACACGGGAGTTGTACTAGTAATATTTTAAATTCAAATGCCTTTTTTTTTTAATCCCTGAAATAAATTTCCACTTCTATTCGAGCACAATTTCTTCTCTAAGTGAGTTGTATGGTTAGGTTACGACAATGCATAATTATACTATAAAATGCCATATATTTATTCCTACTAGAAACGAGCTGGGTATACGAGTACGTGCGATAAGCCGAAGCCTATTTACGGAGCCGGTGCCCAAGCGCTACTAGAAACGGACTAAGTATGCGGGTACGTCATCGCACGGTCCCCAATAAAGCCGACTCTAATACCATGTGATGTGGTCGTAAGAAATGGTTCATGAAGGACCGGTTGTGATCCGAGTTTCAGTCGTACTCAGTCGGGTGGTTCAATTTGGTAGGCGTAGCCCATGGTACCCTTGTACATGGGTGGTAGGCGAAGGCTCTGGTAGACGTAGCCCATGGTACCCTTGTACATGGGTGGTAGGCGAAGGCTCTGGTAGACAGAGGCTCTGGTAGGCGTAGCCCATGGTACCTTTGGAGCACATGGGTGGTAGGCGGAGGCTAGCTCTACGTGAGCTAGGCGGGGCACCTTGGCACCTAGGTAGCTGGACGTTCCACTGAGGGGACCAGAGCCCAGAGGGGGTATCGTGCTCAAGTCATGGAGAGGTTCGCAACCTCAAGGACTCTTAGGACTTTGACCTAATCTGAGGGGAAGACTCATGGTATGATAAGAACTCTTCAACCTCTAGATGACTTCGTCTATAAAAGGGGACAGGTTATTTCATTCACACAACACACACATACTTGTTGTCTCGTTACTCTGTCGTTTTCTCTTTGGACCGCCACTGACTTGAGCGTCGGAGTGTTTGCGCCGGGACTACCCCCGGCGTGTTTTGCAGGTACCGGCGATCGAGGAGACGCAACCCAGTTCGGAGAGGAGCGGTCCAGCGGTTCAAGTATTTGTGGTATAACACCATGTAAGAAACGGGAGAAAAAAACGGATGCAGTTCCGCGCAAATGAAGCGCACCAAAACAGGAAAAGCTCAGACGAATCTCAAGTAAGGTTCCATTCCAAAACGGTAGAAGAAGTAGCCCATTAGACTTATGAATTAGGCATATTTTCTCTGTATAAACGATGTGGGACAATTCACAAATGATATTCTAACATTCTAATAATATTATTTTTCAATTTTGGTCATTTCATCTGCTGCATCTACTAGAAAGTATAAATTCTTAATAGTTTGGTCTACCTAAGAACAACATTACCAGAGCCGGTCTTGAAGATTATAAGGCCCTGGGTCGAACACAAAAATAATGCCCGGAATTATTTAACAAAAAAATGATAGAATTCATAACTCATTTCTTTTTTCTTTTTGGAAAATATAAATAATAGAGTTATATAATTTAAAAAAATAAAATGCAACCTCATAAAAAAGCTAGCAACTACAAGCATATCCAATAAAAAATCACTGCACTCATAAGAAATAATTAATGGCATGATTCTCACATTTTATAAGATAATGTATGTTTTTATTAAATATTACTAAATATGTTTAAATATACATTAAATAAACTTTAATTTCATTGAAAAAAATAATTGCTATAAAAAATTAATATAATTTTTAAAAAGTAAACTATATAAATAGTTTTTTTTTTTTTTTAGTAAATAAAACAAATAGGGTACTTAAAATAATACAATAATATATATAACATATAATTAAGTAAAGAGAGAGAGGCGTAGTGTCTAGGTGTGAGTAGAAAAATGTTGGGATAGATAAAAAGTAAGAAGATTATTTTATTACTTTAATACCATAGAGAGATTTTTTTGCCATAAATATGGATGCCTTTGAATTGGGCTGATCTTATTTCATTTTCTTTTTAAATTTTCGTATTAAAATGAAATTAAGATAAAAGGTATAATACAAATGGGCCGGTGCCCCTTGTTGAATTGGGCCCTGGGCTAGCTGTTGCCCAAGTTGCCTTGTGCCAGGGCCGGCCCTGAACATTACACCTAATAGAACTATCACGTATTTGTTAAACTAGTGCGGTACCCGTGCGATGCACGAGCTAGTTTTATTAAGGTAAGCAGTTAAATTTGGATGATTAGAAGAACATAAATTATATATATTGAAATGAAACACAATGTAACGTTATATATTATTAAACACATCATTGTACACAAAATTATTTGTTTGGTCTTTTGATACATCGTCTATCGCCACAAATTATATTAAGATTGTAGATAGTCTTAAATAAATCGATTAAATAATTTAGCAGAATATATACGATATTTTGTAAGTGTATGAAATTATTATTTATTTTGTAAGTGTATTCAATCAATTCAAATTTGTATTCTAGATAATTAAATAAAACCCAATTTTTAGGATGTTACAATCCAATTTCATTTTGAATTTCAAATTAATATTATATGACTTTGTTTTATGTTTAACAAAAAGTCCGAATTAAAGAAAGTAGTAATCAAATGATAAAAGATTTTTAAATTTTAATTTGAAATTTGGCCTGATTTTTATGTAATCTGATTTTTTTTTTAATAAACATGATCTGTTACATTTAGGTAAAGATACATGTTATAGTGTTTTGTCTAATTCAAAATTCTCGATTGTATGGTAAACAGATTTTTTTAATAAGAAATGAGAGAATCTTGACTTTTACAAAATTGTCATGCCGACTATGCAATCCGATTTTTATAATAAATAATTGATTTGTTGCAATTAGTAAAAGATATATGAGAGTATTTTGCCTAATTCGAAATTCTTGATTTTATTTTAATCAGTTTTCTAATAAAATTAGAGAAAGAAAATTGACTTTTGCATCAGTCGAAATTTACCTAAATTAAATCCACAAAATATATAAATTTAGGGTGCATATTAAAAAAAAATACAATTGTTGTACCATTTCAAGAATAAATCAACCGTAATTAGTTTTAATTAAAATATAATAGTTTCCAAACAAAACACTTTAGTTCGCCAAAAATTTATGGTATGTAATATTGTTTCTTTAAGGTAGCACGATTTTTTGAAAGAAAAGTAACAAATACCATAATTTTAGGGTAGCATTTAATGCTGATTTTTTTGAAAAAAAAAATAGTTACTAAGTATGGAATGTAATTAATGCTAATTGAGATTTGACCAGAATTTGACCTACAATTTTTAAAAAATAGTAATTCTTTTTATATATATATAGATTATACCGTATTATCTAACTAATTAAAAAACGCCATTTTTGTAAATACATTTTGTGCATCGGTTCTTACAAAACCGAGGTGAGTGGTTTGGTGAGCGACACTTGACTACAGAAAACTGATGTAATAAAATGAACTTAAGGCATCGGTTCCAAAAAAGATGTATGGGCCTGTGCATATGCATTATAACATTAGTTCCAACACATGATGTTAAGTATTTTAATTTTGGAGCATTTATATTTCTTTGTTGGTTGTATGCATCGATTAAGTGTGTGTAATGATACTTTTTTATTTTCACACAAGTGTCTGAAAACAATTGGGAGATTGAGACATGTGGACTCGAACGAGATAACTTTTTAATAAAATCAACATTTTATTGTATTCGAAATCCCACACGTCAATACACGTTGTTAAGAGGATATTTGTTTATATCATGAAGATATTAATCATGAATGAGCCATATTCAAACGACGAATATGAGGATATGAAGTGGCATTGGGCGAAATACTTTCTGTAGGTTACTTCAATAGAAAAATAGACTTGATCAGATTGCTTACGTTTGTACAAACAAAGTCATTTTTGCTAAACAAACTCAATTTTAAGATTGAGCTGGTGGCTCGTCAATATAGCTAGAGTAGAGTAGAGCTTTGCCGTCCTTGTGGTCCTACCCGGCTCGATTCCGGATTAGTCGGTTCCCCTGTGGATCCGGAAACCGGAAGGTCCC